GGCAAGAGATCGTCACAACCGGGTAACGTGAGTTGGCGCAGCGATTATTAGGTCACGTTTTTCCGACCTTACAATAGTCACAGCACTCTACTAAAAATTTCCGCCCATATGGATTGTTTCCATAGTTCCGCCCGGTCATGGACTAAAATTATCTTAATGCCGGCTTAATAAATAGGGTTAAACGATTAGGAAAAGTTACCTTCAATTTCTAGATTAGAAAATGCTATAAATCATATAGAGAGACAATTAAAAACCGTAATACATACAACTTTCTGGTTTAGTATCTCTTTTTTTGTGCGAAAAATTAAATATTTTAAAGTTAATATTTTATTTCGAAATGATACTTAGACTATTTAATGAGTTACATGATAGCGATTAAAAAAGATATCTAAACTACCACTAAGTTTATGTATATTAATAATAATTAACGAAGTCAATTGACACAAATTATGACATAAATAAAAGCCAGTGATTTATGTTTCCGGTTCTAGTGAAATTGTATTATAAAATTTAATTTTTGGTTACGAAAGTTTTTCCATGGTATTAGATAGGAGGTCAAGAGCATTATTCATATTAGCAATTTTTTTATAATAAATGGATGCCTTTTTTAATCCCAATTCCATGTTTATAACAAGTTCCAAGGTAATACGTTCCTAAGGCATGACCCATAGCAGCAGATTTTTGAAAATGAATAAAAGCCTCTTGTTCATTCTTTTCAACTCCGATTCCATTTAGATAACGTTGCCAAGTGAAACTCAATTGTTAGCAGATTTTTGATAACAGATGAATGCCTTAGATTCATTCCTTACAACTCCAATTCCATTTTATAACATTTGCCAAGCATAAACATTCCATTAGGACATCCCATTTCAGCAGATTTTTGAAAATGAATAAATGCCTTATGTTCATCTTTTTCAACTCCAATTCCAAGCATATAACAATATCCAACCATATAAACTCCCTTAACATATCCCATTTCAGCAGATTTTTTATAATATTTGAACGCTTTACAATTATCCTTTTCAACCCCAATTTCATTATGATAAAAAGTACCAATATTAAATGTTGCTTCAGCATTACCCAGATTGGCCGATTTTTGATAATAAATGAGTGCCTTATGTACATCTTTCTTAACTCCATTTCCATTAAAATAACAATTTCCAACATTATATGTTCCATCAACGTTCTCCATATCGGCAGATTTTCGATAATAAATGAATGCTTTATGTTCATTCTTTTCAACACCAATTCCATTTTCATAAAAATAGCCAACATTATTTGCACCATTAGCATTACCCATTTCTGCAGATTTTTGATAATAAATGAATGCCTTATGTTCATTCTTTTCAACACCAATTCCATGTTGATAACAATAAGCAACTGAAGTTATTCCACCAGAATTACTCATATCTGCAGATTTTTGATAATAACTGAATGACTTATGTTCATTCTTTTCAACACCAATTCCATCTCGATAACATTCACCAAGTACAGTTATTCCATCAGAATTACCCATATCTGCAGATTTTTGAAAATAATTGAATGCTTTATTTTCATTCTTTTCGACTCCTTCACCATACAGATAGCAAAATCCAAGACGAAATATTCCTTTAGCATGTTTCATTTCAGCAGATTTCTGATAATAAATGAATGATTTACGTTTATCTTTTTCAACTCCAATTCCATTAAAATAACAATTTCCAACATTATACGTTCCATCAACGTGCTCCATATCTGCAGATTTTCGAAAATGAGTAAAAGTCTCTTGTTCATCCTTTTCAACTCCGAATCTATTTAGATAACAGTTGCCAAGTGCACATATTCCATCAGAATTACCCATATCTGCAGATTTTTGAAAAAGAGTGAAAGCTTCTTGTTCATTCTTTTCAACCCCGATTCCATTTAGATAACAGTTGCCAAGTGAAAATATTCCATCAGAATCTCCAATGTTTGCAGATTTTTGATAATAGATGAATGCCTTAGATTCATTCCTTACAACTCCAATTCCGTTTTTATAACAGTTACCAAGCGCAAATATTCCATCAGGATTGCCCATATCAGCAGTTTTTTGAAAATGAATGAATGCTTTATGTTCATCTTTTCCAACTCCAATTCCAACCATATAACAATATCCAACCTTATTAAGTCCTTTAAAATCACCCATCTCTGCAGATTTTTGATAATATTTGAATGCCTTACATTTATCTTTTTCAACTCCAATTCCATTTTCATAACAATTTCCAACATTATATATTCCCTTAGAATTTCCCATTTCTGCAGACTTTTGAAAATAAATGAATGCCTTATATTCATTTTTTTCAACTCCAGTTCCATATTGATAACGGCTACCAAGTGCAAGCATTCCATTGGCGTTACCTGCATTAGCAGATTTTTGAAAGCAAATAAATGCCTTATGTTCATCCTTTTCAACTTTAATTCCATCTCGAAAACAGTTACCAAGTGCATATATATCAAATGCATTCATGTCAGCATATTTTTGATTATGAATAAATTCCTTGTCTTTTTCAATTCCAATTCCATTATGATAACAGTAAGCAGCTAGATATACTCCATTTGAATTACCCATTTCAGCAGATTCCCGATAACAAATAAATGCTTTATATTCATCCTTTTCTACTCCTATTCCATTTTGACAACAAAATCCGACATTATAAATTCCATTGGCATTCTTCATTTCTGCAGATTTTTGATAAAAAATGAATGCTTTATATTCATCTTTTTCAATTCCAATTCCACGAAAATAACAGTCACCAAGTGCGAATATACCATCAGAATTACCCATCTCATCAGATCTCTGGTAATGAACGAATGCCTTCTTTTCATCTTTTTCAATTCCAATTCCACTTTTATAACAATTTCCAACCTGATACATTCCATTAGAAAGCTGCATCCCAGCAGATTTTATATATTGAATGAATGCTTTATATTCATCCTTTTCGACACCAATACCATGTTGATAACAATAACCAACTTGGAATACACCATCAGAAATATCCATCTCTGCAGATTTTTGATAATAAGTAAATGCTTTATGTTCATCCTTTTGTATTCCAATTCCATAATGATAAAAACTACCAACATTAAATGTTGCCATAGCATGACCCATATTGGCCGATTTTTGATAATAAATGAATGCCTTTTGTTTATCTTTCTCAACTCCAATTCCATAACAATAACATTTTCCAACATTATGCGTTCCATCAGTGTGCTTCATATCTGCAGATTTTTGATAATAAATGAATGCTTTATGTTCATTCTTTTCAACTCCAATTCCATTTTCATAAAAATAACCAACACAATTTGCACCATTAGCATCACCCATATCCGCTAATTTTTGATAATAAATGAATGCTTTATATTCATACTTTTCAACACCTATTCCATCTTGATAACATTCACCAGGTACAACTATTCCATCAGATTTACCCATATCCACAGATTTTTGAAAATAATTTAATGCTTTATTTTCATCCTTTTCGACTCCAATACCTTGCAGATAGCAAATTCCAAGAAGAAATATTCATCCAATATGCTTCATTTCAGCAGACTTCTGATAATAAATGAATGACTTATATTCATCTTTTTCAACCCCGATTCCTTTTTCATAACAATATCCAACATTGAATGTTCCACGAGAGTCACCCATTTCTGTAGATTTTTGATAATAACTAAATGCCTTATGTTCATCTTTGTTAACTGCAATCCCATTTTGATAACAATGACCAAGTGCAAATATTCCATTGACACTTTCCATTTCTGCTGATTTTTGATAATAACTAAATGCCTTATGTTCATCTTTGTTAACTCCAATCCCATTTTGATAACAATGACCAAGTGCAAATATTCCATTGGCATTTTCCATTTCTGCAGATTTTTTAAATAAAGATACTGCATAATCTTCATATTTATATACTATAAGATAAACACAACCCATAATAAATACGTCGTCAGAAAATCCCGTCTTTGAAGCATTTTTTTTAAAAAATGAATCGTCTATTTTGAAATTACGTTCTTATAAAAACATATTTGAAGATGAAATAAATTTAGGTTAGCATATAACATAAAAAAGTGGCTCTAATTATGGTCATCCCTTGTAAGTAAGAGCAGAGTAGAACTTACTTAATTTTTCCGTAGCAGGCATTATTTCATTAGGGTCGACTAGATTAAATAAAATTTCTTCACTATTGTATAACTGACAACTAGTAAAGTCGTCGAACTGACTTATATTAGGTTCTTCAAAGTCAATCATATTGTTAATGGTCTGAATCTTTTCCTGAGAACCCGATAATTCCAATAAAATTTTTTCATCATTCAACCATATTGTAAAAATTTTACAAACTTCGTGTGCTGATGGTCGTTTTTCCGGTTCATTGTCCCAACATCTTTTCATTAAATTTATGTAGCATGAATCTGTATCTTCAGGAATAGGTGGTCTTAAATCTTCAAGAATTATTTTTATTTTTTGTTGAGATTCTGACATCCGTGAATCATAAAGTTCCTTCATTATTATTCCATATAAAATTTCCCACATAATTATTCCAAATGAATAAATGTCAGATTTGGCAGTCTATGGTTTTTTATTTAAAATTTCTGGTGCTATGTATGGTGGAATTCCACGAACATTTTCATCTTTATTCGTTAACGCCTTATTAAATGATGTTGAATACCCTAAATCTGTTATATAAGCGCTATTTAAAGTATCCTGCAGAATATTTCCACTATGTAAATCTCGATGAATAATTTCTTGAGAATGGATAGCTTCGAGATCAGAGATAATGCAAAGCAATAAATTCAACTTATCTTTCCATTCTTGTTGAGATATCTGATGAAGGTTTTTACGTAAGGGCCCCATTCTTGCTTGTTCCAAAACAATTATGTAATCTTTAGACGATTCATCTTTTGATATGCCATAGCATTTTAAAAATGAAGGATTTTTAATACCAATTTCACAATATGCACTTAACTTTATATTCATAAATTAAAAAGAATGAATATGTAATTTATTAAATATTTAAGAAAATCAAAATAAAAATTACCTCTTTTATAAATTCTTCGTGGTGTTCATTTGATCCGCGCAGTAATTTAAGTACAACACTCATACCTAAATCTCGTTTCTGAATGAGCCATCTAGCGACATATACGGTTCCAGAACCACCCTTATCTATCTTTTTAATAGATTCAAATTGGTTATAAGGAATCCATGGTAACAAACATTTTTTCAGAATTTCTTTCAACTCGAAATCAATATCAGAATTTTCATTTTCCCATTCATATTCAGCTAAGTTCCAATTATAGAATTAGATTTGAGTCATTTTCAATTCAATTTTAATATTAATCAAATTACCTGATAAATCAATTTTTCAACTAAACAACAAATAAAAAAAAAAACTAAATAAAAATAGCAAAGATAAAAAATTTAATTTATAAATTATACAGAATAAAACTATTACCGTTGATACCATTCATTAGCCTTTTGTATATCTCTTGATATTCCTATTCCATTTCGATAACAATAGCCAACTTGAAACATTGCATTAAGGTAACCCATTTTAGCAGATTCTTGATAATAAATAAATGCTTGTTGCTTATCCATTACAACACCAGTGCCATGAAGATAACAATCACCGACATCAAACATTCCAAGAGCATTTCCAATATCTGCAGATTTTTTGTAATAATTAAATGCCTTATCTTCATCCTTTTCAACTCCAATTCCCTTTTTGTAACGATATCCAACGTTATGCATTCCATCCGAAACACCTAACTCCGCAGATTTTTGAATATAATTGAATGTCTTATATGCATCCTTTTCAACTCCAATTCCTTTATCATAACAATATCCAACATTATATATTCCATGAGTGTTTCCTAGCTCTGCAGATTTTTGATAACAACTGAATGCCTTATGTTCATCCTTTTTATCTCCAACTCCATCTTGATAACAATCACCAAGTGCTAACATCGCCTCAGAATTACCCATCTCTGTCGATTTTTGATAACAACTGAATGCCTTATGTTCATCTTTTTCCACTCCAATGCCATCTTCATAACATTTACCAAGTGCAAGCATCCCATTAGTATTATCCATCTCAGCATATTTTTGAACATAAATGAATGCCTTATATTCATTCTTTTCAACTCCAATTTCTTTATAATAACAATGTCCAACATTATATGTTCCAAGAGCGTTTCCTATCTCTGCAGATTTTTGATAACAACTGAATGCCTTATGTTAATCCTTTTCAACTCCAACTCCATCTTGATAGCAATCCAATCACCAAGTGCTAACATCCCATCAGAATTACCCATTTCAGCAGATTTCTGATAATGAACGAATGCCTTATGTTCATCTTTTTCTACTCCAATGCCATTGTGATAATATTTACCAAGTGCAAGCATCCCATTAGAATTATCCATCTCAGCAGATTTTTGAAAATAAGTAAATGCTTTATATTCATCCTTTTCAACTCCAATTCCTTTATCATAACAATATCCAACATTATATGTTCCAAGAGCGTTTCCTATATCTGCAGATTTTTGATAATAACTGAATGCCTTATGTTCATCCTTTTTAACTCCAACTCCATCTTGATAGCAATCACCAAGTGTTAACATCCCATCCGAATCACCTATCTCCGCAGATTTTCGATAATAAATGAATGCCTTATGTTCATCTTTCTCAACTCCAAACCCAGTTTGATAACAAAATCCAACATGATTTATTCCAATAGCATTCCCCATCTCTGCAGATTTTTGACAATGAATAAAAGCTTTATGTTCATCTTTCTCAACACCAATTCCATCTCGATAGCAAATACCAAGCGCCATCATCCCATCCGAATCACCTATCTGCGCAGATTTCTGATAATGAATGAATGCTTTAGATTCATCCTTTTCGACACCAAACCCAGTTTGATAAAAAAATCCAACATTATACATTCCAGTAGCATTCCCCATCTCTGCAGATCTTTGACAATGAGTAAAAGCTTTATGTTCATCTTTCTCAACTCCAATTCCATCTCGATAGCAGTTACTTAGCGCTAACATCCCATCAGAATTACCCAAATCAGCAGATTCTTGATAATGAATAAATGCTTTATGTTCATCCTTTTCAACTCCTATTCCATTTTGATAACGAAATCCGACATCATAAATTTCATTTGCATGACTCATCGCAACAAATTTTTGATAAGGAAAGATTGCTTTTATTTATTCTTTTAAACCCGAATTCCAAAATTGAAACTGAAACAAACTTGAAATACAGAATTCCATTAAAATTTTCGTTTTAGCAAATTATTGACAATAAAGCAGTAGACTAATATGATTTTTTTGTCAATCCTTTTTATTTATACTTTAATATGAACAGAATAGATATGATTATTTATATATGGTTTGGGAAAGTTGTTCAGAGCATGACGGAGTACCACCAAGTGGAAACCTGCAATTTTTATTAGATAAGATTCTCGGGTTTTCTCTTGGCGGCACTCATTTGTGAAATTTGTGCGAGTAGTACTAACCAATAAAAGTAAAGGATCTTCTATAGAATAGGTGGGGAAACTCCGCTAAACTCCGCCAAAATCATTAAAAATTAATGATTACTAATCATCGGCGAAGCTTATTTCTTATATTGCCCACCTATTCTACTCTATAAAAAAGGGTTGTATAAAATTGCTTAATATCTGTGCTGCATGTGTAAAAAATGTCTGAAAAGGTACCATTTTGTTTAGTTTTGTTTACTTTTTGCTTTATTCAAATAAAATAAAAAATTAGACGGAATGGTGCTTTTTCAGACAGTTTTTACACATACAGTACAAATATTAAACAAATTATATACATATCTATTTTATAATGTATAGAAAATCCAAAGTGTCCTATACGTTTATTTATTTCTCTTGTCTGCGAACTATAGATGCCTGAAGAAACCATAAATTTCGTCATAGTTTGTCATTGACGAAATGACGAAACTATTACGTATGTTTTGGCAATCACATGAGTTCCGTTAAGCAACATTACTGCGAGATTGTATGAATGTCGGCCTATTTAATGTTGTTTGTACCGCTTGCACAAATAAATTTTCATCCACCGGTGTTTATTACTCACATTACAAAAATAATTCATCCGAAACTTTCCCTGATTGGTCAATTTCTTTCAATTGACTTCATAAATGTAATATTTGCAAGCAAAAAATAAAAATTGAGGCAATCTCTAAGCATGGGCAAGGAGTAATGCTAATTATACAAAGAATTCACGAATAATCTCAAAAAATTGAGGTACTTGGAGGTCTATAATATTACATAATGAGGAGTTTATACAGTACCCGGTGTCTTATTCAAGAACCCCGTTTTTTAAATTGAATAGTACCTGCTGGTACTGTGTGAGGAACCGGGTACGATATAACGTATGAAAGTAATAAATTAAATATACCGTAAACTGCTGACTCTTGTATCCGGGTATATACATTGCTAGTGTTGTACCCGGGTACCGAAGCAGGGGGGTACATTGTTTGGACTTTATATACATTTATATGTGCGTATATAGATATCCGCGGGTACTTCTCATTGAAGTATACAATGTATAGTACCTGGGTATAAATCATAGGGGGTACTCGAGTCAGCAGTCTACGGTAATATTACCTCAAGAATTAAGCCAGATGGGTGGTGAATAATATTCGGTCTTAATCAAGGGAGTATTATTTATAGAGATATTTCATGCAATGCTAAACGGCAGGCCTACCGAACAATTAATTGCAATTAAATTGTATTATATGCATAAAAAATTGCAATCAATCAAAATTAATGCTAAAAAAAATTGAATTCAATTAATGACATAATAATTGCAATTAATTGCAATTAATTGCAATTTTTGCTTTTACAAAATTTGTCAAATATAAATTTTAGATGTGTAATTGAAAATGAAATTAACACAGCAAATTGCTATGTATTAATAATGTATACAATGCTATATGTTTTTTATGAATGTATTTAGATACTTTATATGTATATAGTTTTTTTAAATGTGAATATACTAAATAAAGACTTATTGCTTAATTTGGTGAATGTCTTGGATTGACCATATTTTGTCGTTCATTCTTAGTAATAGAAGACTTTCTAAGGTATGCGGATCCAGAGATTTTCTCTAGTCCGTATAATAGTACTTACCGCATTAGATGTAGGTAGAATAACATTCATATCCATGTACTTTGACTCTTCTAGTTTTTTCTTTTTTGCTACTTGTTTCTTCATTGTTATG